GGAGGCCGGACGCGGGCGCTCTGGAGGCAGGACGCGGGCAGAGTGGAGGCAAGACGCGGGCGCTCTGGAGGCAGGACGCGGGCAGACGCGGGGACAAGTTATTTCTTGGCAGTACTGTAGCTATACGCTATAACAATTACCAATCCTACAGGCTAACGACGTATACGCAATGCCTACCTACTTTAATAACTTGTGAGTTATGTCAAAATTTACTAATCATAATAACTCACGTTTTTAACGTTTGGAAGTTGGAAGTTTCGTTAAGCGTGTGATCCGCTTATCTTCAATTCTTCGCAATTTTGCACAAATATGTGGAATTACTGCCATTTTGTTTCAATACATTCTCGTACCCAAAGCCCTTCTTACGTGCGTTCGACCGAGCGCGACGAGGGGCTCTGACCAAATCCATAACCGGATACCATAAAAACATGGTAAGAGAACAATATCCGGTATTAGAACTACGGCCAATCAGATGCCAGTTTGATATGGATTTGGCCAGAGCCCCTCGTTGCGCTCGGTCGAACGCATTCTCGTACCCAGAGCCCTTCTTACGCGCGGTGAGACGAGGGGCTCTGGCCAAATCCATATCCGAACTAGTATCTGATTGACTAGTTCTAACACCGGATATTGTTTTCTTACCATGTTTTTATGGTATCCGGTTATGGATTTGGCCAGAGCCCCTCGTCGCGCTCAGTCGAACGCGCGTAAGAAGGGCTCTGGGTACGAGAATGGTTTCAATATTACTGAGTTTCAAACCGTTTTTCCCGAATTTTTACCGGGTTTTTTTGTTTATCGTTTTTTGCCTAGAACAACATAGGTTGAATCAATTTTAAAAAAACATCGAGATTTTTCGGGGTTCTTTCGGTTTATCGATAACTGCCTCACCCAGTTTTCCACTTTTCCACTTCAATCGTATCGTACCGAAACGCAACCTCGTTCCCAGGGTCTCTCCTGACCGAAACGTAACGTATTTCTTTGCTTCCTGACCACTACAGTGCAATTAATGACTTCGACACAAAAGATACGATTGAAGTGGAAAACTGGCTTAATGCTGCAGCAGCTCCAAGCGGTATGTGAGAAAGTAAATTTAGGTTGTAATATATGTAGAAGATGCATACCAATCCATCTCCAGCGATGTGAAACTCAGCTTCTGTTGTTATAACAACCAATCTTCTTGCTTTTTCTTTAGGAGACCATTTCACTGCCTAAACATACAACATGCATATATGGTCATTACAAACGTAACCGACAACTTTTAACATTTAGACAAGTTTAGCCTTTTGTATACGATAGTTTTTAATGTGAATTTGTTCATTTGTTATTTGCCCCGTACAGACGAGGAAGTTTTGTTTGACAACTTTCTCGACGAGTTTACAAGTTTCCGATCAACTAACTTTTCAACAAAATTTAAAAGATTGTCTACGATATCATAATAAGGAGTGATTTTTCAAGTTCTCCTTGTCACACACGACCAAATAAAATTTGTCAAGAAAAACTTGCTTGTACTCTGTACGGGGCTTTATTGTCGTTGAGAACGAAGTTGGCAAGACGTTTTGTCAGGGGCGTAATAACCAGGGGGGCACAGGGGGCACGTGCCCCCCCCTCCTTTGTTCAAAGGAGCAAAAGTGCTCTTTTTTGTGATGAAAAAGTGCCCTTTTTGTACAAGCTAATGTCGCTGTAAATACTAAATTAACATCAAAGGGCTTTTTGTTTGGTAATTTTGATGTTTTTAAAAAAAAATAAGTCAAAAACGTGCAATTTCGGTATGGTATGACGGGAAAGTTTTTCTTTCATCACAAGGCACGCGAAAAACCCACCTTTTCTTGACATGGAACGATGTACAGTAGTTAGCCCAATCAGTGACTTTTATTTTGTCAACCACTTGCCCCGTCCCCCTCCCCCTCCCCCGCTTGCGACAGCCCTGGGCTGTTCGTGAGATAACGGCGAAATTCTTGGCAAATCAGATGATAGGTGTAATAGCATTCACAAATATTATTCCATACGATTGTGCTGCGTGATTTGATGTGAAATTTGACTTCAACCATTGATGGTCAATCGTTCGTTTGAATTTGTCCTAAATATCTCTTATGTAAAGAGTTTGGATTCAGTTAGGATGCAGGTTTATTGCGCAATTGATGAAACACCACCCTTGAAATACAAATTCTCACAAACTTAATTTGAAAATTCAATGAAATTTTCAAAACTGCATGAGCGCGCATGCTCACATCGCATTAAAAACCTCATTCAAAGGGCTGCACTGTAACCGCAATGAAAATTGTATTAGACCTTTTAAAATTATATACAATGAAGGCCCTTTACAAAATATTTCCACAAAAAACAGTACGAAGTCCTCCATATTGATTGTTCGTTGACTTCGTTCAATGTGCATGACCTCACAACTGGGGTAAAGAATGTCTATTTTGCCAATAACAATACATTATGCGTCTGAAACTCGATCTTTTAGGCTTTTTCCATTTCCAATTGGTTCACAACATATTAATATATAACTTCTCTCGTTGAAATGCAGTCAACCACATACTGTAGTAATTTTAACAAGCACAGAACATCCCCCAAAACACATTTAAATATAATCAATCCAAAAGTTCTTTCAAATGAGATTAATTCTTACTGCAGAATCTCATATCCAAAGATTCTTTGCTTGTTTCTTGTACCCGTTTTCACAAGCAAAACAAGTAATCCAATACGAAAGTGAGGTTAACATTCATTTTACTATAATTACTGTATAAAGCCTACGAGAAAACTTACTGCATCACACACAGCAACTTGCATCAGAGTATCGACCCAACCATCTGGACCATCAATACTTTCCGATAAATTTGAAGTTTTCACACTTGTCTGAATACAAATGAAGTGAATTTTGTAATGCAGTGTACCATATCTACCGAATATACAAACACTCGCTCTCATCATGAGCAGGGGGTACAAATTAGTACAACACTGAGGCATCTGTGCGAAAGCCAAAGTTCTACCACTAGTTCGACCACAAATGGAAATGATAGGGCTGGCCCGCAGACACCCATCAACGTCAGAGTGCCGTGGGCCATGTATAGACAGGCATTATCAAAGAGTCCTTCTCTGTTTATCTACAGTAAATAATTTTCTCAAAAACTAATTATTCACGAAAGAAACACATTAGACAATCTGCACGGTATTGCTGTCTTGATTTGTTTGAGAAGCTACAGTACTGTATACCACTTGTGTTTCAAATCGCTACATGTTATCATACTGTATTATAAACTTGTGTATGATTTACAACCTTTCTTTTAGGTGTTTTTTTTAATATTTAGCCATCTATTACAAAATTAATGTACGTGTTTGTATACATCTCCACAAAAATGTAACGGTATACCGCGGTATTTTTTAAATACCGTAACCGGTGTTGAAGTTTCGATACAGCCCAACTTTAATGTGAAGACTGAAGAGTATAGATTATATATAACAAACAAACCTTACCTCGAACTCGTTCGCATTATCAGTCAAAGGCAATGCATTTCTAAATACCCAGGGAGGTGAGATAGGTCTGATATAATTTTGTTTTGCTCTCTCAGCCCAGCTGTAAGAGAATTACATTAGTCATTATTCTACAATGTTCAAACACTGGAATTTTTTATTCTTGAATAGTTATTACCAGTGGCGGAAATCTTGGTGGGGCGGGGGGGGGGGAGGAAGCCCCCCCCCCACCCTTCACGGAAAATTGACGAATTTCGGAAATTTTGACCTAAAAGAGGGCTAAGTTTGAGTGCAAATGGGGGGGTTTGTCGGAAATTTGAAAGTTTTGTCGGAGGCTTTGCCCCCCCCCCAGCGGAGAAAGTGAATTTCCGCCACTGGTTATTACATGTATAAGAACACAAGATTCAAAGACACCATGGAAGTATAGTACAGTATAACTATTGTCCTCGTTTTCTACACTTTATGTTCATATTCGAAATAACGTTATACGTTGTTACGTTTGTACTGTATTGTCGTCAAATACCAATAGTGTTTAAATTACCCA